AAAACGATGAGTCTGTGTCCTTTCTAGGTACATGGATGAATCTGGAAGCCATCATTCTCAGCAAACTGACACAAGAACAGAAAATCAAACACCGATGTTTTCACTCATAGGTGGGTACTGAACAATGAGAACACATGGACATAGGGAGGGGAGCATCACACACTGGGGTCTTTTGGGGGAGAACAGAGGAGTGACAGCGATGAGTAGGGAAGTTGGGGAGGGATAACATAGGGAGAAATGCCAGATATAGGTGACGGGGGGATGAAGGCAGCAAAACACATTGCCATGTGTTGTGTGTACCTATGCAACAATCCTGCATGTTCTGCACATGTACCACAGAACACAAAGAGGCATAAAATATATATAAAAAATAAATTCTAAAAAAAGTGTGCAATTCAATATCCACTGGATGTCAACCAACCACATACTATGCTAAAAGAAATTAAAAATACTTTCTTCATAAATCTTTATCAGAGACAACTGAAAAACACATACCGATTCTAGACATACATGTGCAGATTACACACAATATCAACAGTAAGCAGCTCTCCCACTTAAAGAACATGAAGTCCTGGAAATGGGTGTAACAATGATCAGTCAAGTGAACTGGGTATATTTCCATTAGGAAAAAAGTTAGAATCAAGCAAAAATCAAATTAAGACGACTTAACAAGACAGAAAATAAGACAGCAATCTGACTCTATAGCAAGTGAAAATAGTAACACAGTACTTTTGCAAACAATTAAAAGTCATCATACTACTGAATAGTTTTCGTTTCCAAAGGTTGTTTCTGTTCTAAAAACTAGTTCCACAGGCATGATGGCTCTTACTGGGGCAATAGAAATGTTCTAAAACTGATTTGTTACTAATAATTACTAAATTATAAACAAAGAAACTCTTCTTGGACATCAGAGTAAATCAAAGTAGTGACATCAAACTACAGTAGCAGTCCCTATATTTTTCACCACCGCACTTTTGCAGTTTTAAAAAACACAAAAACTTTCAACTATGTCCTTGAATCAAGTAGCACAAATTACTAATTTTAAAAAATTTCAACCTGTAAGTACTAATCTTTCTCATATTTTGTGTGACTAAATGGGAAGTATTCATAAAGTGCCTCTAGTGTATCTGTACTTCAGTGTCATGGTTGTCCCTAAGGAAAAGCACTTGTGCAACTTAGAAACAGGACAAACCAGCCGCTTTTCTCACAGAACACTTTTACTTCAAATAATGACAGACAAACCAAAGCTATTCAGACATTCAGAGTTGGGAATTTGGCAGACTTTTTCGAGAAAATGAAGTGAGACTGTCCTTCAAGAAAAACAAATGATAACATTAGAGCTTTCAAGAAAAACTAGAATTTTGGAAAATTTGTATCAGCTACTGGGAGCATGAAAGCTTTCCAATAACTTAAAGCCTATTCTAATGGGTTTGGTAGTAATGTTAATGAATGTGGTTTTTCTGGTGGTGTATAATGTCAACGCACTGGAATATCTGCGTAACTCTCTAGACCAGTAAATATTTCCCAAACCAATGAATGATGCTATAAAATCATGCGTGAGTAAAAGATCCATTCCAAGTGCAAGATAGTTCAATATTGTCTAGAATATCAGTATAGCTTAGGATAAAAAGTTTTTTTCTTTCTTTTTGAGATGGAGTTTCACTCTTGTTACCCAGGCTGGAGTGCAATGGCGCGATCTCGGCTCACCGCAACCTCTGCCTCCTGGGTTCAGGCAATTCTCCTGCCTCAGCCTCCTGAGTAGCTGGGATTACAGGCACATGCCACCATGCCCAGTTAATTTTTTGTATTTTTAGTAGAGATGGGGTTTCACAATGTTGACCAGGATGGTCTCGATCTCTTGACCTCGTGATCCACCCACCTCAGCCTCCCAAAGTGCTGGGATTACAGGCTTGAGCCACCGCGCCCGGCAGGATAAAAAGTTTTAACGACATGGCTTCAGATTCTATATTAAAAACCATCTTTTAAAAAACTACTTCCTAAAACATTCTATTATAAAGACACATGCAGATGTATGTTATTGCAACACTGTTTACAATAGCTAAGACTTGGAACCAACCCAAATGCCCATCAATGATAGACTGGATAAAGAAAATGTGGCACATACACACCATGGAATACTATGCAGCCATAAAAAAGGATGAGGTCATGTCCTTTGCAGGGACATGGATGACGCTGGAAACCATCACTGTCAGCAAACGGACACAAGAACAGAAAACTAAACACCACATGTTCTCACTCATAAGTGGTTGTTGAACAATGAGAACACATGGACACAGGGAGTGGAACATCACACACCGAGGCCTGTCGGCAGGTGGTGGGGAATGGGGGGGAAAACATTAGGAGAAATATCTAATGTAGATGACAGGGGGATAGATGCAGCAAACCACTATGGCACGTATATACCTACGTAACAAACCTGCACGATCTGCCTATGTAACCCAAAACTTAAAGTATAATAACAATAATAAACTACTCTGTGTTGAGTTTTTTTTTTGTTGTTGTTTTTTTTTTTTTTTTTTTTGAGACGGAGTTTCGCTCTTGTTACCCAGGCTGGAGTACAATGGCGCGATCTCGGCTCACCGCAACCTCCGCCTCCCGCGTTCAGGCAATTCTCCTGCCTCAGCCTCCTGAGTAGCTGGGATTACAGGCATGCGCCACCATGCCCGGCTATGTGTTGAGTTTTATTGTATCTACTTCTTGTTGAGTTTTACTATATTCAAAAGAGAATCTTCACAACTATCAGAAAAGGATATTAACAAAACAAACATTTCTTTTCCAACTATACGTGTGAAGCTAGGTTTTCGTCATACAGTTAAACAACACATCACAACAGATTTCATGAAAACCCAGCTGTCAATTAACCCAGCAATTGAAGGTCTGCAAAAATGTAAAGCAATGTCACTCTTTTTGTCACACTAAATTTGTCACACAATGCACATTTTGTTTTTAAAGTTATTTTCATTTAAAAATCTATCACGTGCTAAATCTAATTAATTTACCATTTATTAATGAGCAAATTTTTAATTTGTTTTTATTTTTAATACAGTTTAATCCTTATTTAACATCATCGGTATGTTCTTGGAAACCGCAACTTTAAAAGCAAATAACACTCTTTCAGTACGAAGCTGATGAGGAAAAAAAACGGTTTCATTATTCATTGTTTTGCTTAGAGTTGCAGTTTCTAGCATAGAGACAACACTGAGTACTTACTGTATATACCAAGAGACAAAACCAATGCAAAGAAAATTACATTCAATATTTTTCATAGTGTAAATGGGTTCCAAGATCAAAAAGTTTAAGAACCACTGGCCTGTAAATATGCTCCCAAAGATAATTTTAATGTCATTTTTCTCTTCCTTCTAAATATCCAATGGCTTTTCGGTATATATCTAATTTAAATGTTTGAGGAGGAAGGCTTTACTGGATGCTCAAATAGGGGTTTTTTTGGTGCCACAAAGTTAGAATATATTCCCATATACTCATACTTTTAAAAAACTAACCAATATATTCATCAGGACCCAAAATCCTTTTAAATGGAATCATTTAAAATCTAAGCAACCCCCCCGCCCACCAATTCCTCCCTCAAGTAACTGATCTGATAATGGCACATAGGGTATTTCAGATTTTGGAGGATATCAGTCAAGATTTAAAATTTTTATCATTTCATTTGTCATATGAAGCCATTTCCATTTCTGTAAGATAAAATGTATTGAAAATATTAAAAATCTTCATTCAGATGAACAATTAATAAAATAAAAGAAACAAAAGTGTTAATGCAGGGTTGGGTTCAGGGGCTCATGCCTGTAATCTCAGCACTTTGGGAGGCTGAGGCAGGTGGAGTGCTTGAGCTCAGGAGTTTCAGACCAGCCCGTCCAACATGGCAAAACCCTGTCTCTACCAAAAAGAGAAAAATTAATTGGGCATGGTGGCATGTGCCTGTAGTCCCAGCTACTTGGGAGGCTGAGGTGGGAGGATGGCTTAAGCCAGGGAGGTAGAGGTGGCAGTCAGCTTAGATAGCGCCACTGCACCCCAGTCTCGGCAACAGAGCCAGACCTTATCTCAAAAAAAAAAAAAAAAGTGTTGTAAAAGTTTCCCAATAATATAGTCAATACAATGTAACTCATAACATGAAGCAATTGTTAAAATATGCTATTGCAATCTTAGGCTATAAAAAGTATATGTACAAATAATAGGAGCTAACACTGCCACTGTAGTCTATAAAGTTTAGATGACAATCCTAGAATAAAATGTCAATTATGAAGATAAATAGAAATTATCTAAAAAGACAATCAAAATACTATAGGGTCTGAAAAACTATATTTAATAAAACTAGAGATATTTAGCCTGAAGGAAGTAGAGAGGAGTAAAAGTTATCTTCAAACACCTAAAGACTTCCCATAAAGCAGTCTTGTTTCCCGTCATTCCAAACAAACAAGAAATAACAGGCAGAAGTTTCAGAAGTACTTGAGTTCCACTGGAAGAGTAAATTTTACAAAATAATTTCTAGCTAACAACATAATAGTCCAGTTCATAAGCAGTGAATTTCACATCACTAAAAGATTAAACAAAAAGTTGGTAGACAGAGCAAAGATGATATAAAAAGATTCTTTCCCAGGACGCACATATCCTTTCAAGTAGCATGTTTTAGAGCCTTATTTCTAGAGCTCTGATGTTTAAATGAGTTACCTGGGCTCCGGTTAAAATGTAGATTATAATTTAGTTCTAGAGTGAGTCTTAAGATTCTGTATGATGCCTATGCTGCTGGCCCAGGGACTGTACTTTAAAAGGCTTAGAGTACACTTTGTCAAATAATTTACTTAAGAGTCACATGCAGGCTTTTCAATAACAAATCTACTACACGAAGAAAAAAAAACAGGTGACAACAAATTCAAATGATAAAGAAAAGTATATTTTAAGTTTAAACAATTTCATATAATTTTATCTAAATACAGTCAAAATTACCCAGTAAAATAACTTACTGTGGCTGGTAAAGGAAGAGATCAATAATATTATCGCGACCTTTGGGGTGATTGAAGAAAACAAACAGGGACCAGTGAATAAGCCATGTTCTCTGCTGAAGAGACTGGAGCGGAGAACTCACAGACTGAAGGATTCAGAAAGGTATACATAAGAAATATTAATATACAAGAAAGAGGCAAGAGGACAAACATCACTAACTTCCAAACTGTAATTAAAAATGGGCCCCTTTTAAGGCATGACTTTGGTCATTATGATCCAAGTCTGATCCTCTATGCCTTCTCTCTGCACAATCCCTCAACATTCCAAATTATTACCCTGTTCTTAGAGGCAGATTCAATGATGTTCACTGAAGACGTTCTAATTTATAAACTCTCACAGAAGTTATAAATTATAATCATTTCAGAAAACATTTTAAAAGAATTAAAGTGAACATTTCATAGTAAGTATTAGATAATTGCAGATGAAAACTGTCTTCTGCAATAAAAGATGGCACTAACAGCATAGTTTCATTTTCACTGGCATAGGAAAAAAAGGGCACAGTAGCTTAACAGAAATGAAGGCTATGTTTTTTCTCTAAGAGTCAAATGAAGTTTGACAATTTCCTTTAAGGAGATTCAAACTAGTCAACCCGCTAATCCACTATGATTTTTGTAAGGTCAACCAAAGCTATTTTAAAATTTTTTGTTAGTCATTCTTTTTTTATTTCCCCAATGCATAGTTTGTTCTTATCAGAAAATATGAAGGATACATAGATACTTCAGAGAATAACTGAAAAACTCTAACTCACATTATTATCTATGGTCTCTTTTAACCGTGTAAGATCTTCCATGGCGGCATCCCAATTTTGCATTAAGATTTCAGAGGCCAGCTTTCCCCAGAGTGAACTTAATGCATTTCTATCTGTTGCTGGAACCTGTTTAAGAAACCATAATTAATTATATTGTGAATACTCTTGAAGAATGAACAAAGTGTATGTTTAATACCCACCTTACCCCTCTAGCCTACTAAAAGACCTATAGCTCTCTACACAAAACTGTAGTTATTTAAGTCCTTATTGGACCACACTGGTTTGTTTCCAAAAACTTAATTTGCTAAAAATATTCAGGTCTTCAATATTCAGTCTAGGTAAGAAAATAAAGGATAACTTTTATAACTAGAAAACAGTAGCATCGTCTTACTGTAACCCACTTCAGATAATTTATACACAACTAATCAAATTTCAGGCACCTAACACTTTAGAAACCAAGTTAGATTCACATGTAATTTGTCACTAAAATCACTAGAATGAAGATGTGGAAAATCAAGACTTGTGAGTCTCATTTACAGTATAATGAAAAATTATGTAGAAAACCAAAAAATATTTCCAAATTATGACACAAATGGAAGTTATGGAGAGACGGAGACAGGGAAAAAAACAGGCTAACTGGTTAATGACAGTTAATAGTTATTGATAAATTATGTACTTAGCAATACAAGTTAGTGTTTACCTGTAATCCTAACAAATTTTTATCCCCATTTTTTATCCCCATTTTCAAGAGGAGAACTAATACATATAAATTGTAACTTGCCCCAAATTACACTTCTAATCATGAAAGCTATAAATTTTATACCACAATCGTAACCTAAAAAAGGAGACTAAGGGTCATCCTTAACACTCCTATGCACTAGTAAAAGAGGGTCACAAACTCAAAACATCTAAGGAGATCAGGCTAATAACAAAGAGCAATGCTGGACTCCCTCAAAACAAAGTAGAAGTGAGTAAACTGACTCTGAACTCATCAGATGTACTAAAGCAGTAGAAGGAAGTAATGGTAGTAGCGAGGGAAGAATACATTTCTACACCTCAAGATGAAATTTCAATTTTAATTTTTCACAAAAGCACTTTTACATAATAGTGTAGCTATCGTAATTACAAGGTAATTACAAGGGTCAGAAATCCAATAAAGAATTTTGTCTCTACCATTTAACAACTAGAGTTTATACTTTAGCCTCTTCACTGCAACATGGGGATAGAACCCACCTCAGTTATATAGTTTAAGTGACATAACACATGCAGAGATTACAATTATCACCTGATACAGTAAAGAACTTGGTAAATATCAGTTAGTGAAATAATGATGAAAACCATCACAGAAATACGTATATAGATTTATATATAGGTACATTTATATACATATTTACAGATAGATAATCTAAACATTGGAGACTACAATACAACAGCCTATACTGAGATTCTTCTTTTTCAAAGTACTGAATAATATTTGGCACACGCTAAGAGCAGGCAAATAATACAGGGACTAGATTTGTAAATTAAATTTTGAAACATACCCATGATACTCCTGGTTCTAGTTATTATCACAATGTATATTCACAATATAACTTATACATGCATATTCATAACAACTTTATTTTTCATAGACAAAAACTAAAAGTAATCCAAATATTCACCAACAGATGAATATATGAAACAGACCATGGTATATTCACAGAAATACTACTGAGCAATAAATAGAATCTAACTTCTGATACATACAATAACATTAATAAATCTCAAAAACTTGCTACTAAAAATAAGCTAAACACAAACATACTTACTACATCATTCCACTTACATACATAAAATTCTAGAACAGGCAAAACTAATCTATAGGGACAGAAAGCAGGTCAATGGTTGCCCAGGACCATCAGTGGAGTCAGACCACAAAAAGGACTAAAAGGGTCTTTGAGGTGACAGAAATATTCCTTATCTTGATTTAATGGTAGCCACACAAACATACAAGATTTTCAAAATTCATTGAAAGTTTAAAAACTGATATATCAAAATCCATAAAATAATTGTTTTAATTACAAAGGATAAAATGTTTAATTCTTATAAGACATCTGAATATTAAAATATATAATAAAGTCAAAGATGCCATCAATTTTAACATAATTATTTTATGTTTCTAAAACCAAAAACAACCTAGTAAATTAAGACATTTTCTGATTTCAGATGTTAAAATATGAAAAACTATGCTTGAAAATCAATATTAAAAGCACAATTCTTACAGTCAGGGTACATCAGAGCCAAAATTTCAGTCAAGATCTTAATGCCTCCAAAAATTATCATTATTCGTACCATCTTGAGCCTCAAAGAAAAAATTTTTAAAAGAAAATACATTTTATATCCTGAGGGAAGCAAAGATATAGCTCCAAAAATATGACAACAAATAGTCCTATGAACTAAAATCACTTTTATTTCAAAATGCTGCTGAATGAGGGAATGGGGTATATTTTGGAGCCAGATCAAAGGCCACAATGATGGAAAATTTTAACAAAATAATCAGTAGTACTAATAACTTTTAGAACAAAAGTGTTCAAAAATTCCCACCAAACCAGCTTCATCGTTTTATTTCAATTAACACATTTCTTGGATTATAAATCAAAGAAGTTTCACAACCAGTGTACCTAAACACTCCTCAATGTATTCTAAAATCCCAGTCTTTTTTTTTTTTTAAAGGGGCAGATTCTAGGGTCACATGGCTTTAATTTATACAACACTGACCTACAATAGGTCATTCAGAGAGTCAAATTCTAATCTCAGATCATAGTTACAATGGCTCTTTCATAGCTTATGTTTCCCTAACCATAGATTTCAAAGAATAATCAACCACCAGAAAAGTATTTAGAAATTTTAAAAAGGCCACTGCAAAAAATTAATTAACTAAAGTAAAACACTGACATTTTTCATCACAAATCCAAACAAGATTTTTAGATTTGCTATTAAACAAAACTTCAGACAAATACAGATCTTATGGTACTGGCTATCCAAATCAAAAGAAAAAGATAAGTAATGTAATCTATTCTTTTAAACTTGGCTCTGTTAGCCTGCCAATATGCCAATAAGAAGCAACAAACTCGTACCTAATGCAAATGTTTTGTGGCACAAGATGCGACAAAAATTTTAAAATGAATTGAATGTAACTTCTAAGAATTTCAAATAACTATATGCTGATTGCTCTTGATGTAAAACATATTAATTTAGTGTTTATATCATAGTGTTCAATCACTTAATTAAAATATCATTTGAGTTCCAGTATAAAATTTGTTAGGGGTAATGCAAAAGCTTAAAATTAACCCCCCAGTTTTTTTTTAAGATAGGGAATTAACTTGTATCTTCTTATTTTAAAGAAGTAAACAAAAATTCACCAAACTTTTAAGTACAAACCTGTCAGTTGCAGAAATTTTCAGACCAATTATAAAACCATACTACATAAATATAATGATACTATCAACACTAGAATGTGTTATATGTGTTAAAATAAAAGTTTTTTGTAACAGTGTAGCAAGTTTTTCAATCCTCAAAAGGTTCATGTGTACTGCTCTGGCTAAACTCCATGTCATTACAGTTGGCTCTTCATACCAACCTGCTTTCAAGGGTGGATATGCTAGAAGAGTTTCAATATCTGGATTTTCAGCAGTTACCTTAAGTTTCCATGTCTTAGCAAAATGGCACATTCACTCATTGGCCAGCAACAATAAATTTACTGTGCTGGAACTCTAACATGACACTAAATCTTCATTCTCAAAATTCACTCCCAGCATTAACAAATGATATAAATAACCAAGTCTTTTCACATACCTGTAATCATACCAGGCTTCTGACTTTACAATCCTGGTTTAAGCTGTTTACATTTCCAAAGTAATCAACTTTTGCTCTCCTAAATCCCTTGTGATATTAAAAGTAAAACTGATGGAATTTTTTGATAAGTTACTACAAGTTTAGCATCACTGATTACCTTCAATGCACTTGCAAGTGAACCACAGCTAATTTGTAAATTAAGAATTCATCTACAAATGGGAGCAAGAGAAAAAGTTGTTTTTCTTAAGCAAAGTTGGAAATAAACATAAAATCTTTTTCTTTATTGGTCAGTGGAGTTTCAAAAAGTGAAGTTGTCTATGTAATTTAAATGTAGAAATTACCTGAATCAGTAATACTAACCTCTCCCTCCCCAAAAAATGAAAATTTAATTTCCTAGAAAATAACCACAGACAGCAGCCATAAGAATTTATTTTGTGACATGCGGAGCTAAAAGTGAAGAAAAAGCAGCAGAAAATAACGGTAAAAACAAACAAACTCTTCCAAGGTTGGAAGACAAAAAGTCTCTGTTTTATGGTCTTTTTCCAACTTCTATGATTAACTAGAGAAATCTTAGACAGGCAGTGTGCAGTGGCTCAGGCCTATAAATCCCAAAGCATTGAAAGGCTGAGGAGGGAGAATCACTCCAGGCCAGGATTTTGAGACCAGCCTGTGCAACACAGCAAGACTCCAACGCAGAAAAAAATTAAAAGTTAACCATGTGTGGTGATGCATACTTGCAGCCCTAGCTACCTAGGAGGCAACAGAATCTCTTGAGCACAGGAGTTCAACACTGTAGTGAGCTATGATGGCACTACTGCACTTTAACCTGAATAAGAGCAAGACCCTGTCTCAAAAAAAAAAAAAAAAAAAAAAAGATTTTCAGGGTCAGGCGCGGTGGCTCAAGCCTGTAATCCCAGCACTTTGGGAGGCCGAGGCGGGTGGATCACGAGGTCGAGAGATCGAGACCATCCTGGTCAACATGGTGAAACCCCGTCTCTACTAAAAATACAAAAAATTAGCTGGGCATGGTGGCACATGCCTGTAATCCCAGCTACTCAGGAGGCTGAGGCAGGAGAATTGCCTGAACCCAGGAGGCGGAGGTTGCGGTGAGCCGAGATCGCGCCATTGCACTCCAGCCTGGGTAACAAGAGTGAAACTCCGTCTCAAAAAAAAAAAAAAAAAAAAAAAAGATTTTCAGTACCTACTTGCTAGTCAAAGGTGAGTAACAAATTACAATTTCTCAAATGAGAGGCTAGTCAATACAAGAATGTTTTGATAACTCTAGAAGGCACCTAATACACTTTCCTAAACAGAAGACAGAGTAAGAAAGAAGTACATCAATATGAAGGCCTGATTTTTATTTATTTTATTTTATTTCAATTATTTTTTGAGATGGAATCTCACTCTGTCACCCAAACTAGAGTGCAGTGGCATCATCTCGGCTCACTGCAACCTCTACCTCCCAGGTTCAAGTGATTCTCCTGCCTCAACCTCCCAAGTAGCTGGGATTATAGGCACATGCCACATGTTTGGCTAATTTTTGTAGTAGAGACAGGTTTTCACGATTGGCCAGGCTTAACGACTGACATCAGGTGATACGCTGCCTTGGCCTCCCAAAGTGCTAGGGTTACAGGCGTGAGCCACCGTGCCTAGCCAATGTCTAATTTCTAATCTGGCTTCACACAACTCTGCTTCTCTAACTAAAGCGCTAAATCTGGAAGCCTGTCAAATATAAGGTAACAGGATACTTTATAACAGTACCATTTAAACTCATCTACACCTCATGTAATGAAGAAACCATTGATCTCTATATTCTAATAGCTGAAGGCAGGCATAACTGGAAAAAAGTTACTGCTAAGGCAAAAAATATTTCACACACCCTTAGGATTCCACAGTTGTTTAGAACAAGTTCAAGGAATATATATATATATATATATATATATATATATATATATATATATTAAATCAGGAATAATGGATTTACTCATCAATATTAATTAAGCACCTACAACGTGCCATTTGCTGTGCTTGTATGATAATAAATCCACTACATGGTAAGATACTGCTAATGCTAAAAACCATAAAATTATACCAAAAACAACAAATTTGCGGTTCCTACTTTAGATTTCAAGGACAAGTTAAATCAACCTCCAAATTTTGAGACCCTGAAACAAGGTTTCTGGTTTCTGTTTTTGAGTGGGAAGGTTTTCTTTTCTCTTTTGCCAATGACCGCTGAAAACTTACAGAGACCCAAATCTATAGACATGTTTTGAAGAACCAATGGAATCCTACAAAAGACAAAAAAATTGAGTACTTATACTTACCAAGACTCTAAAAAAATAGAGATATTCTGCTGCTCCTGAGTAATTGCCACACTCATATTGGAATTTTGCATATCTGTAGAGCGTATCTAAATATTCCTGCCTAAACTAAAAAGAAAAAAAAAGATTAAGTTCTCTTTGTTAGAGTCTTAAAATTCCATTGCAATTCATAAGTCTTTGAGGTCAAAACTGTGAATGTTGAATGCACCAATCTAATGTGTATTTTACAAATCAAACCTATCTCTGATTATGGTATTGATTTTTGGTGGCAGCTTTTGGGAGACTATTCTAAAGTGACCTCTGGAGTTACTTAAGGAAGTAAACTAAAGGGAGCTGGGGTATGGGACGTAGTTTTAGGATGAAACTATTCCACCTCAGATATCAAGGCATCAGTTGGACTCTCATAAGGGGTGTGCAACCTAGATGAATTCCATGTGCAGTTCATAGTAGGGTTTTTGCTCCTATGAGAATTTAATGTCTCCGCTGATTTGACAGAAGCCAGAACTCAAGTAGTAATGCTTGCTCACCTGATCATCTGCTCTGTGGCCTTCTGGTACTATTCCATGACCTGAGGGTTGGGAATCCCTTAAATAATTAATTATATGAAAACACTCATGCTTTGAGTTGACATGAAGGAAATGAGATTGAGAGAAATCTCAATTAGGAAAGCTTATGACATTTCTTTATTTGTGAATTTGGAGATTTATAAAGACCTTGATAATTCCAAAGGCTATTGTGTTCTACGAAGCAGCCAAAATATTACTTAATTTTATTGCTTAAAGCATTTTTAATTCAAATTTAATTCTGTCTGCCTTACTTGTTAATCCATAAGAAAAGGCATCCTATGCCCTATGATACTTAGCTTGCTGTTGACATGAATATAAAATGCCAACAATTATTGCCAACTATTATGACTTGGAATAAATGAAAGCTTTGAGAATTTCTGTTATCTAAAGGTGAGCTGTTAACATATATTTTCCTATCAGCAACAATTTATAAAAACTGAAGTTTTAAAAACATAACGAGATATTATAATACATTAATCTGGAAATTATATTCGTAAGCCAAGCCATGAGCCAATCTGTACAAACCAGTCTTTAGTCAGCATTATTAAAACATGACAACACTGAAATATTTTTAAAACACTTACACCATGTTTGTCCGCCAAGTAGTCAAAGAGCATCCTACCATCCCTAAATAATAAAAAACAAAAATTGTATTTTAAAGGCCATAGAAAACAAAATAAGCATATCCAACTTCTAAGTCATTACCTACACAAAACCACCTTAAATAAATACTTAAATGCTTTAAGTAAGACTTCCAGAATAAAATAAGCAGGACACTACATGTTTTGAATACAAGTATACAAAGGGAACTACAAACTTTAAAAATCCAACTTACAAGATTAATAAACCATGCCTGACTGTCCACGGTGGCTCATGCCTATAATCCCAGCACTTTGGAAGGCCAAGGTGGGTGGATCACCTGAGGTCAGGAGTTTGAGACAAGCCTGGCCAAGATCCACCTGAGGTCAGGAGATCGAGACAAGCCTGGCCAAACATGGTGAAAACGCATCTCTACTAAAAATATAAAAATTAGCCAGACATGGTGACAGATGCCTATAATCCCAGCTAAGGGAGGCTGAAGCAGAAGAATCACTTGAACCTGGGAGATACAGGCTGCAGTGAGCCAAGGCATCACTGCACACCAGCCTGAGTGACAAAGTGGGACTCTGTCTCAAAAATAAATAAATAAATAAATAAATATCTGATGTACATAACAGCTATGCTACATACACTATATAATCATTACATGTAACTAACTGTGAAATTTAATGTTTCTTAAATTAGCTTTGCATTATTTTGAGATGTTGACAGACTGGTAAAAAAAAGACATCAAGGGACAGGTGATATATGAATATAGTTGTCCACCTTATGAGCATTTTCATTGTTATTGTTGTTTTTTGAGATGGAGTGTCACTCTGTCATCCAAGGATGGAGTGTAGTGGGATGATCTTGGCTCACTGCCACCTGCGCCTTCCAGGTTCATGCAATCCTCCTGCCTCAGCCTCCCAAGTAGCTGGGATTACAAGCATGCACCACTATGCCTTCCAAAGCACTGGGATTACAGGCGTGAGTCACTGCATCCGACTGCATTTTCCAAAATGAAAACATTTTCTTATCCTTCTCACAAGAAGAAATATGCTGTAATGTGTCTTTGGAAGAATAATTTTACTTGATTTCATGGGGCAAAGATATGGCCCCATAAAAATTAATATAGGTGTATTACAATACTGAATATGAAAATGTACATGAAATTCCAACATAAAATAATTTCAACAAAAACTGAACGCTGGCAGTGGATCACAGTGAGTAACTTTGTATTGCAGTACTTTCATCACTCAGGTATAAATCATTGTCCTCTGGCTGATTATTTCTGGGAAAATGTAAGTACAATACAATATGCTCAATGAAATTTAAAAAGGGGGAATTGTCAGAAAAAGGTTTCTATGCCAAAAATAGGTAGTTTGTAAGTATAGTAAGATTACAAGTTTTTAACACATGATCTTTTCATTTATCTCAAATTCAGTGCCTCCTAAGCTACAAGATTCTCTTTTTCTACTAACTGCTGAACACATTTACATTCATTTTATTCATATTCTGATCCCATTACTTCCCAGTCTTTGAGTAACTAAACTACAGCATTCTAAATTCTCTGTTGTAGTCTAACATCTGGATTATTTCAGCTGTCCCTTGGTAATCACCTACATGTGACTTGAAGATCTAGAATTACTTATTCTAAAAGCATCCAAGTAATTTAGCGTAACATATAGCTCTGCCTATGCATGCAATGTGTGTATATATATCTGTGTGTGCACGCGTGTGCACGTGTATACAGTCATCCCTTAGTATCCCCAGAGCATTAGTTCCAAGACCTCGCCCATCCCCCACCCACCAGCACCCTCAAATACCAACATCTGCAGGTGCTCAAGTCCCTTATGTAAAATAGCTTAGTATTTGTATGTAAACTATACACATCCTCCCATATACTTTAAATCATCTCTAGATTACTTATACCTAATGCAATGTATCATATAGTTGTTAGTGGTTATACTATAGTTTTATTTGTATTATTCTTTATTGTTGTATTGTTATTTTGTAGGTGCTTTTCCCGAATACTTTTAATCTGCAATTGGTTGAATCCACAGATGCAGAACAGACAGCTGACTGCATTTATATCTGCATATATATGTACTATATGTCATAGTACAGTATAGTATGCCATCATATGTCACAGTAATTTTGTATTTACTGATTTTCTAAAAATATCTGGTAATACCTTCTCAAATCACAAAGGAAAACTTAAGAGTCAATCTCCAAAATTTCGTGTGAACACACAGAAATTAAAGGTATAACATGGCAAAATATCCAGCAATTCCTCAAGCAATTTACTGGTGGCTAGAATTTATCTCAAATGACAATATTCAATTTTAGTAGGAGATTTTATTTTTAAATGTTTCTAATAACCCAAAGGGCTTCCACCAGTAACATGTACTAAGTTAAGACTAAGTAGGCACATGCTTTCTTTGTAAATGAAACAGTAAGTCTGTTTCTAGCTAAAGGGAAGTTAGGAATAAAATAATCTTATCAGCTCAAAACTACACTCCTTGGGCTGGGAATAGAGCTTGGAAGAATATGAGAGAATGTAGCCGGTGATAAAGTGAGCTCAGGTTTCTCTTATAAGGAGATACCCATGTGCTCTAGGGCTTTAGGTATTGCCCGGGCACAGGATTTCTTTCTTTCTTTTTTTTTCCCCTCGAAATAATGTTTCATTACATTGCCTACTTTGGAATGCAGTGGTATGCTATCAACTAACTGCAACCTCCACCTCCTGGGCTCAAGTCATCCTCCCGCCTCAGCCGCCCAAGTAACAAGTAGCTGAGACTATAAGCGCACACCACCATGCCTAGCTAATATTTCGTAGGTTTTATTATTTTGGTAGATACAGGGTTTCGCCATGTTGCCCAGGCTGGTCTCGAACTCGTAGGCTCAGGGGAACTGCTTGCTTCCACCTCCCTATAATCTCATGCTGAGATTATAGGCATGAGCCATAATGCAGCGGCACAGGGTTTCTTTTTTTTTTTTTTTTTTTTTTTTGAGTTGGAGTTTCGCTCTTGTTACCCAGGCTGGAGTGCAATGGCGCGATCTCGGCTCACGGCAACCTCCGCCTCCTGGGTTCAGGCAATTCTCCTGTCTCAGCCTCCTGAGTAACTGGGATTACAGGCACACGCCACCATGCCCAGCTAATTTTTGATTTTTGTATTTTTAGTAGACACGGGGTTTCACCATGTTGACCGGGATGGTCTCGATCTCTTGACCTCATGATCCACCCGCCTCGGCCTCCCAAAGTGCTGGGATTACAGGCTTGAGCCACCGCGCCCGGCCTGGCACAGGGTTTCTTAATGGACATTTTGAGTTGGGTAATTCTTTGTTGGGGAGTAGCAGGAGGGGTGCTGTCCTACGCACTGTAGGATGTTTAACAGCATAACTGGCCTCTACTTACTAGGTGCCAAAAGCACCCCTCCAGCTATGGCAACCAAAAGTATCTCCAAACCCTGCCAAATGTCCCCGGGAAGGGGAAAATAGGAGACGAAATTTCTGTAGCATAATCAGTATAGATAAGTGGTAAATAAGTTTTAAAAAAAGAAATTAGTCTTAATATTAATACAGGCCCCTACGAAATAAGGATAAGTAAAAATTTAAAAATGAATAAAGCACTAATTTAAACCATGAACTTTTACTATGGGATACTGGATCAAGTTTGAATTAACATTTGTATTAATCCAGAAAAGAGAATTTTTAGAATTCAAAATTAAGAAGAGTTTACCTGGTTGACTGCATTTGCCTTGTAGTTTCTGGATCTTCAAACATCTTCACAATTGGTTCTGTTTCTGCCTGAAGCTGTTTCAGTTGTGCAACAACTGTGGTTCTTTTCTCTCTCAAAGCTAATTAAAAATGCAGAAGAGTACTACAATGTTAAGGAATGTTAAACTGTGTTTCATTACATCCGCCTACTTTGGAATGAGGTGGTATGGTACTGACTTAACTGCAATCTCTGCCTCCGGCGCTCAAGCCATCAAGTAGCTGAGACTAGAAGTGCACACCACCACGTCCAGCTACATTTTCTCATTCATGAGAATGTCTGGAAATTTTTTGAACCATTTAAACTATATATACATTTATTTACCCCCAATATATTCATATGCCAGGGGCTACTAACTCAGTAATGTCCCCAGATCCCTAATTTCTTCTTTTAATAATATAAAGGCACAAAAAGGAAAAGGTAATCCTTTTCTGAATCCTTTTCTTATTCTTAAGGGAAACTGGAGAATATACAGCCTAGGGTGACAGTAGGGAGGCAAAAAAAAAAAAAAAAAGTAGGGATAGGACAGAATTATTTTCATTTAATTCTCCATTGCAGAGACTTCATTCCAAGAGTTTTTATTTGTTCCCATTTAATTTTCTTAGATGAATATTATCCCAGAGTTTCTGAACAAAAACTCAGAGGGGTTTACAAATTACTATTACAGGTTATCAACTAGGTTGAATGGAATTTAAATTCAGTTAATAATAATCTTTTAACTATAAATCCAGCTCTATAATCTTTCCATCCAAATTCTATCATTCCTTTTTACTGTATTATGAAAAGGTAGAGAAAACTTGCACATAGCGAACCCTAGTAACAACTTAATGTTTTATTAAGAAACTAAGAAACAAGTTTCTGGCAGGGCCCAGTGGCTCACACCTGTAATCCCAGCACTTTGGGAGGCTGACACCGACAGATCATGAGGTCAGGAGTTTCAGACCAGCCTGGCCAATATGGTGAAACTTCATCTTCACTAAAAATACAAAAATTAGCCAGGCATGGTGGTGCACGCCCATAATCCCAACTACTTAGCAGGCTGAGGCAAGAGAAACACTTGAACTCGGGAGGCAGATGTTGCAACGAGCAGAGATGGTGCCGCTGTACTCCAACCAGGGTGACAGTGCAAGACTCTGACTCAAAAAAAAAAAAAAGTTTCCTTTTTGTTTACTTCTTCATGACAAACTAAAATTAATGAAGAGCCACTGTTATTGCAGGGAACTGTAAGTCAAACAGGTGGATTATGTTTAATGTAATAATTTCTGCATTATATATTTAAAGAATATTCTATAATAGTCTTTCTCAAACACAGATCATCTATGATTAAATTTTGAGAAATGTCAATTTAAACAAAGTATACCGTATTTCTCTACTGCCAGAGTTCTTGGAAGTTTTAAAAATGTAATATGCGTAGAAGAAATGACACACAAAATTATTTCCCAAACTTATGGGACCACTTTTTTGTTGTTGTTTTTTTAAGGAACATCTACTACCACAGAAAGCAAGGATTTGGAAAACATCGTACCACAGTAATTCTTCAACTTGAGTGCTAGGCCTCACTTAACAGTTTTGATTAAGTAGGTTCTAGTGTGTGGCCCAAATTCTGCATTTCTAACAAGCTTTCCCAGGTGAACTGATGATGCTGGTTCGGGGGAACAATATTTGGAGAACAATGTCTACACTAGATACCTCAAAATGAAAAAAAAGATCTCTAAGGGACACAATGCACTCACTGAAAATGTTAGCAACCAAAGAACTGAAATATTCTCAGATAACTGTAAGGAATGTGAGTCATAAGCACAACTTTAATGATATATACTATGATTGAAGGCATCTGATGACCATATTTTAAAGTAGTTCCACATCTTTCACAAGGAGAAAACAATATACTTTAGAATACATGAGATCTTTATATAACCTCTCTCAAAAAACATTAACATTCAAATAATAATTAAACCTTTTGGCTAAAGCTCTTTCATAAATCATAAAACTTTAATACACACATCATCAAGTCACAAGACAAGCTTCAGTTCTAATGACAAAACTTACCATGAGGAATATCATCAGAATAAAGGTTTTTGTAAACATCCATAGCAAAGTCTACCATGTTGGTATCACTAAGAAGGTCCAATTTACCTTGTAATAATTCCTTTTCATTATATATCTGCAAAAGAAAATAACTTTCTAATGAATATATTTAAGTTCCCCAAATAAGCTGATTAATACTAAGATTAATTTATCTGGAAATATATTTCAAGAAATACTTTATAAAACACTATAAAATATTAATTACCCCCTCTGGTAATAATAATGGCAAGCAATATAGCAAGTAACCAACCTACAGATGTAAAAATATTTTACTTACCTGAAAATTTTAAATGAAGAGAATTACTATAGTCAGTCCCCCCTACTTCTGATTTATACGATCTTATTTTTCACGTGTCCCTAAAAATCATATCTTACCCTTTCTAGGCAAGGCTGTGTATAAATAAACAAAACCAACACCATCTCTTCTGTAAAGTACATATAGCTGTCACCTCTCCATAATCAGGTCATCAGGAATAAACTCTTATATGCTTCTCCATCCACATCGCTGAAACAAAACTACACCCATTTTTTAAGCCAACTATGTTACATCAGGTTTTTGCTTTGCAAAGAGTCCACGAAACAGAGTTTAACCTATAGTACAGGGAGCAAATAGATAAATACAGAAACTCACATAAACCTACAGTGTACTGACTAACATGTAAGGATTCTACACAATATTCAGGGACAGAAATGCTTCAGCAAAAGAAAAGATTACTGTACTGAATTTAATTTTTCAAGGAAAGAAAAATCCAGGAAAATGCCACAATACTTCACTGCCTGCAAGAAGTAAAGATGAAAGTGGTCAAATGGTATTTAGCCATGAGAGCAAAACCGAACCTTCCAAATTACATGCAGAGCTAAGACAAGACAGATCATCCAACTGAAATGGCTAAAGATAGGCACTTCACAAAAGAAGATAACCAAATGGGCAATAAACACATGAAAAGATTCCCAACTTCATTAATCACAAAGGAAATGAAGATTAAAAATTGCAACAAAAATTTTAAAAATCCTGACAATACCAGTGTTGGTACAAATGTAGACTAGCTGGAACATACACTCTTCTGGCAGGAATACAACACAATCACTTTGTACGATTTTTATCTCCCAAAGCAAAACATAGTTTGTGATCCAACAATTCTGTTCCAAGCACCCAAAAGAAATGGGTGCATATATTCAAAGTGCACTTCCAAAAATGTACACAGGAGCACTATTTGTAATAGCCACGTCTATCAATGTTAAAATGAGAAAACTACAGCATACAAACAATAGTTTAACATTTGGCTATTTTCACCAAAAAAATCAATGAACTACTACTGCTATCCTAAAAACATGACTCACAGACAATGCTGTGTGAAGGAAGGCCTGTTCACAAATCTACACCTGCCTCTCAATTCTGCCTTATAGGCAGAACACACACACTTTAAATTGTGTATCAAGAAGCAACAATTGAAAATATTATATAAGTACTCACATGAAAAAGGAAAATAAAATTTCCACGATTTTTTAAAATTTTGAAACAAAAATAGTAACAGTAAAAATTTTTGTAATACAGGTCTACTAAGAAGAATAGAATGCTTTTTTAGGAGAAAACATTTCATTTAATTGGGGTATAAAGTCAATATTCTATAACTGCTAATGTTTGCAAATATTCCTCTGTTAAAAACTATTCTTATCCCCAAAACCACAAAAAAAAAAAAAAAAAAAAAAAAAAAAAGGCTGCTATCTGATTCCCAGGCTATAGTTTGCTGATCCCTGGTCTATCAACCTCTTGAAAACATGCTACTTTTTAACAGATTAATAATCTTTTTTTTGCCATCTCTTCCTCTGCTGTCATTCTACACAAACATAATGCCATATTGATGACTCTTTAAAAGCTTGAGCACTAAAATTCCTTTATCCCACAAATTATAACAACGTTCAAGTATCTCATCTCCAAGAATTCCAACTTAAACTGACAACCCCTCCCAGCATTACCATTAAAATCTTCATCATCCTCAGACTTTCTGCTCTTTCCAATTCCTGTAACACCGTTTTTGATGCCACTTTCTACCTTAATTTGGATATTATTTTTAGCTATTTCAAAGATTTTCCCTTTAGCTCTATCAGTGATTCTTTCAAACTATTTTCTCCAACTATATAAAATGTAGTGTTAATAACTAGCTATAAAAAAAAAAGTCATCTACTCTAGGTTCTGGCTAAGGAAGACTAAAAAATGTTTCAAAATTAGGCAATAATGTTATTTGATCACATCTGTGCTTTTCTAAATGACATTTCTGTACAAGCCTACCCCTAAATACTTCTGTACTACTCCCATAGCCTTCTACCACTCCCCGCCCTGAGAATGACCATCATTATTAGCTCTATAAGGTATGATTCCAATCTCAATTGGACCCTCCACACTTAACGAATCCTTGTATTTTTCTTTGATCAGTTTCTTATTGATCATTTTCAATCTTTACCTTACTCATCAAAACCCTCACTGTCTCCCTCTCTCATCCCATACCAATATAGAATGCCCTAATCTTCCAAAAATAAAAACCATTTAGGGCCAGGGTGGTGCCTCACATCTGTAATCCTAGCACTTTTGTAGGCCAAGTGGGCAGATTACTTTAGTTGAGGATTTCGAGACAAGCCTGGGCAACATGGCAAAACCCCATCTCTACAAAAAAATACAAATAAATAAATAAATAAATAAATAAGCCAGGAGTGGTGGCACACACCTGTAGTCCCAGCTACTTGGAGGGCTGAAGTGGGAGAAACACTTGAGCCCAGGAAGTCGGGGCTGCAGTAAGCTAAGATTGTGTCACTGCACTCCAGCCTGGGTGACAAAGCGAGATCCCGTCTCAAAAAAGAAAACATTTAGGAGTACTCACTCTATCCCAGAAGAGCAAAGTGCTTTACACGAATTATCTCACATAATTTTTCTAACCCCATGAAATGGTGGTAGTATTAACATCTTATTCATGAGAAAAGGTTAAGAAGGTAAAAAAATCTGCTCTGACAGCAGAGAGGTATTAAATGACAGAGACACGATTCTAATCCAGGGTCCAATTCAGAGCTCAAAGGTCCTAAATATTTTACTATCTGGTCTTCTGCCTCACACGAAAGTAAAGAACAGTGAGACACAATCATGTATTCATGCAATCATTTATTAAGAAGTATAAAAGCCTCTATGCCAGACTCCATTTTATGGGCTGAGAGCACAACGAAGCTTCCCCTCTCAAGAGGCTTATATTCTCCAACGTACTACAAACAGATTAACTTGTTTTTCTCTTGGTGCAAAATAGCCCTTCCTTATCAATGAGCTACATGTTCCAAGACACCCCAGGGGATGCCTGAAACAGCAGATAGCCCCAGTCCTATATTTACTGTTTTGTTTTTTTTTTTAAATACACACAATTAACTTTTCCAGGCACAATTTAAAACTTACAAACTGCTTATTTCTGGAATTCTCCATGTAATATTCTTGAACCGTAATTAACTGGAACTGCAGAAACTGAAACTGCTAAGGGTATGTGGGGGGGGGGGGGCTGCTGTATCCTCACATAGTAGGATCACTGATTCTATCCTAACCATCTAGCCTTCAAGACTCAAAGCCTCACCTCCTCAAAGTCCTTTTTGCTCGCTGAAGATAACAGAATTTCAATTTTGACAGCACTCTACTAGTACCTCTCCAACATTTATTACTTTTTGCCTTATATCAAAAACATTGAGCCAGGCCAAGACGGGTGGATCAGGAGGTCAGGAGTTCGAGACCTGGCTTGACTAACATGGTGAAAATCCACCTCTACCAAAAATACAAAAATTAGCAAGGCATAGTGGTAGGCACCTGTAATCCCAGCTACTCGGGAGGCTGAGGCAGGAGAATCACTGCAGTGAGCCAAGATCATGCCATTGCACTCCAGCCTGGCAACAGAGTAAGACTCCATCTCAAAAACAAAACAAAACAAAAATTCAACTCTAAAGGATAGATAAGTTTTTTTAGTGGTGAGATGTCTGGGTTTTATCTTGGCTTTCTCACAATTATCTGGCCCTATACAAGTAACCCCTGAACAACAAGGGTTTGAACCACACAGGTCCATTTATATAATTTTTTTTCAATAAAAGTTACACAGAGTATGCTTGTCTTTCCTGACTTCCCTTTCACTTCCTCTACTTCTTCCACCTCTGCTACCCCTGAAACAGCAAGACCAACTCCTCCTTTTCCTCCTCCTCAGCCTACTCAATATGAAGCCAATTAAGACCTCTATGATGATGTACTTCCACTTATTAAATAGTAAATATAATTTCTCTTCCTTATGATTTAAGAACATTTTTTTCTCTAGCTTACTTTATTGTAAGAATACAGTATATAATACATAGTAAACAGGACTGTTTATGTTCTCACTAAGCCTTCCAGTCAACCTTAGGGCATCAGTAAAGTTTTGGGGGACTCAAAAGTTATACATGCATTTTTGACTGCAGGAGGTCAGTGTTCTTATCCCCTGTATTGTCCAAGAGTCAAATGGACTTAGTAACTGCTAAGTAAATACTCCAGCACCTGTCTTTCTCCTGGTGTATGACAGCTGTCTTACAAATAGGTGGGTATTGGGCAGTTTTTCCCACTGATTCTCAACTGCCTGCAATTAATAGTATTCGTCTAGCCCTAAGAAAATCTAATTTACATTTACATATTTCTCCTTTTCTGTCTGCCATAAAAAAATGAAAGTATAAAGAACACACAATATATAAAGTTCAGCTACTTCAGAAGTACTTCTACCAGTAGCTGGTAAAAGTGCCGCATTTCAAAAGTCAAAAAACTTTCGTAACGTGGCACTTTTACTAGATCTTTTGTCCTCACTTTTCCAGAAAGAAAACAATGTAGATGGGAATGTTTTGCTCCAGGTCTAAAATACAAAAAAGAATAATCAAAGCAAAAACATATCTTTTTGAAGATTAAGTTTTACATGACAAGACATTCTTGGACATTTACTGAAAATGATCTTAGCGGTTTCCTATCATCAATAATTTGAGTTGTTTATGTTCAGAAAAGGTTCATATGAATGAATATGAAGACTATACCTGTCTAATGAGCCCCAACCACCTGGAAGCTGGTTTTGTAGGACGTTGTTGTATTGCTTTTTGGTTTTTGCTACACAAAATCCACTCCCCAAAATAGAGTGCCCTAAGTAGACTTACATTGTGATCTGCTTCCAGAAAAAGAATTCCACTTATTTTTCTGGCCGAAATCCGAATTCCTTCATTATAGCAAAGTACTTTACTGTAATTATTAAAATCCATCAAATTCCCAATAAACTCAAGACATAATTAAGCTCAATTTTCTTTTAGCCCCAACTTTCAAGTCCAATAAAACTTTTGAAGACTGAGTGGGATAAGCTTTAAAATGAAGTTCCAGAACTTCACATTTATTCACGATATTTTGAGTAGGTAATTGAACATTAACGACCATTCAAATCACCTTAAGTCAGTATAACACAGACACTGGAAAAAGACATTTAAAGATTGTGGGGGGTTTTTTGGGAGGGGGTGCGGGGAAACGTCGTCCCCATCTGACAAAATGTGCTGTTCTAGAAAGTCTTACTTATCAAAGACAAGGAAAACTCAACGCAAAGAACTCACAAAGTCATGGAAATTAAAGCTCTACTTAATTTAAATGTAAAATAATCACTCCAAACGACTCGACATGCACAGAACCATAGCCAAACCCCGGCTTCCCACAGTTCCCAAAAGAAAAATCAAAAACTCTAACAACACTACAAGTTGCTTTTAGAATCTGGCCTGTGCAGATCTAAGGTTCTCTAGCGAAACCAGCGAACTTCCGAGAGGAACTGATGCGAACGTCCCTCCGGCACTGACACCTCAGTAAGTAAAACAAGAGACGTCTTTTCTCTCTCCGTAACCTCCCTCCTCCTCACTGCCGAATACTGAGGTGCTTCTTAACTGGGACGACGCTAAACTACCAGAAGGTCATTGCTGTCAGTCCA